AGTACTGGGCGAGCCTAAAGGACTACCCCCACATCGGGAGTTCGATCATCGCATACCACTGATCAACGAGCAACACGCCATACACGATCATCCTTATAGGTACGCGCACTTTCAGAAAACCGAGATTGAACGACAAGTGGCCGAGATGCTTGAGTCAGGACTAATCCAGCATAGCAAGAGTCCGTTTTCTTCTACAGTCCTATTAGCCAAAAAGAAAGACGACACGTGGAGGTTCTGTACTGACTACCGAGCTCTGAGCGCCGCAACTATCAAGGACCGATTTCCTATCCCTAGTGTCAACGACATGCTCGATGAGTTAGTCGGGTCATGCTATTTCTCAAAACTCGACCTGAGAGCTGGTTACCATCAGATTCGACTCCACCAGGCCGACATTCCAAAGACAGCATTTCATACGCACCAGGGGCACTATGAGTATCTGGTCATGCCATTCGGATTGTGCAACGCCCCATCCACTTTTCAGTTCGCTATGAATTCTATCTTCAAGGAGTATCTACATAAGTTCGTTCTGGTATTCTTTGATGATATCCTGATCTATTCGAAGTCGTGGGGCGAACATCTTGTGTAATATCCTGTCAGTTTATCAGTATAAATTATGTTTTTAAATCCGATATATTAATATTGTCGAGTATTAATTTTTGGAATTAATTATTTCAGTCATTTCAGTCGAGATTACCGAAAAATTATTTTCGACGTTCCGTTTACGTTCGGAATAATTTTGGTAATTAAGCAATATGTTTAATCAAATAATTAAACATGATTAAGTGATTAATTAGCAATTAATCACGAGTTAAGCCATAAAGCTGTATGGGTTTTGTTCTAAATTCATTCCTGATACCGTAGCTTTTCAACATAGGAAATAATCCTGCTTTTTGAGTATATACGTGTGATTATGTGGCATAATTAGGTGATTAGTCACCTAAGAAGGGTTATTGTTGCTACAAGTGTCATTAGATGGAGATGGCCACCAAGGTCTCATGCTTTTTCCCTGTCGGCGTCGTGTGTATATAAAGAGGAGTGTTTGGGAAAGTTTTCCCATATTTCTCCACATATAGCTAAGTTCCACATATATATACACATACACTAGAGAGGAAAGGTGAGGGTTGAGAGAATTCGAAGCAGTACTCCACGGCAATCAGCACACACGCACGGCAGCCAGTCGCACCGCCGAGCTATCGCAAGCACCCTATCGCACCGCACGCAAGTAGGACTACACACGGTCACGGCGAGTATTTCACGTGGTTAACTCTACAAGGGAACAGCTGAAGAGGTATATTACTGGATATCTCTTGGTTGGATATGTATTAGTGTCATGCAAATCGATTTTCATGTTGGCCGTGAGTCATGTTCGCCGTGTGTAGTTGGTGTCGAGTCATGTCATGTTTAAAGTTGAATTCTCCGAACAATCTTCGTATGTTTAGTCTTTTTGTGTAATATCATGTTCAGATAAGCTTAAGTGTTCGAAGATATTTCATGTTTAAGTGTCGTGTCGGCCGAAGGGCGTGGCCGTGCACGTAGCACGCG